GAAAACTGTGACATGAACTCCTGCAGGAACTAAGGGCCATCACAAACTTCTGGTCATTGTCTGGAACTGCATTTTGTAGACCTTATGTTCTCTAGCATAAACACAAGGCAACATTTGGGTGTGAATCCTACCAAAATAAATACCTTCTCTGTGTAAGTTTCTCTGTACAGGGAGAAGATCACAGAGCAAGCTGCATATGATAGATGTTAGTCACATTGTTTAATGCACTACTGGATGCTGCTCAGATATTTTGATTATGTGCAGAGCAGGCAAGTGCGATAGTTTTCAAACATAATGTTTCCCTTACAATAAACAAACAGTTCACAAAAAATAACAATTTCAATAAAAACCAGGTGATAGTTGGCAAGTTGGTTGCAGTTACTGCAGAAGGCAGTGGCACCAGAAGAGTGTGAGAGAAAGATCTGCCTAGCAATTGAGACAGTATTTTATACACTCTCCAGGGTGTAGTAAAAAAAGCACACAATATTACAGATGTAGACAAACAAGGCACTGGTGCAATATAGCTGTTGGCAAACCAAACCAAAATCACATAATTTGGTAAGGTAGAGGAAATTGAAAATAGTCAAGAAAAGCTTGAATGTGATACAACGGGGAAAGAAACAACGACGGAATATTCCAAAAAGAGAGAGGGAAATGGTCAACCCAAACACCAGGTGCATGCCCTTGGAGGCTCCAGGCTCATTACTTTTCATTCCCCCACCCCAAGGTTGTTCTTTAACATGAGGTGTCCTAGGAGACTTCTCAGAATACTACACAATATTTAACTGACATCCCTTTATTTTTATTAAAATCTGTTCCCAAGAAGGCACAATGATGGAAGTGCATTATGACATTTTCCCTTCCTTTTCTTTACGCATCAGTACTCAGCCATAATTGGAAGTAAGATATTTCATGAGGTAAAACAAATGGTTCACCAGAATTGGTGATTCCTAACTTCAAGTGGTAGATACAGTACAAACATTTCACACAGCACTTGGTTTACAGAAAAGAGAGAAAATGATTATAAGCTGTATTGAACAAGGTCAGCAATTTAATTTGTTTGATTATTCATTTATAAAATATGTTTTCATCTCACTCAGACTGTGTAGACTGCTTGTGAAGGACATAGTTTAACATTTGGAAATTATGAAACTATAAATCTCAGCCAAATTTTTTGATCCTTAAATTTGATTCACTCCGTGGTATTTTACCAATCCTGAAGTTGTCTTTTTATTACATCTTACCATTTCCACTGCAGAACCAGCATTCTTGCTTTTCCAAGTGGGTGTTTTCTGTAGAGAATTATACTTTTCATTCCACGAACTGGATAAACTTCCCTCTGTTGTGAGGAAATCATGTCGTTAATATACATATATGTATGTTTTAACATAACAGTTATCCAAAAGCTAGTATAACATCATCAACTACTAATATATTTGTGTTACTTGCAACATCTTTTTTGGATTAAACTACAAATTGATTTTAGATTTCAATTTTTTTATTAAATTGTTCTGAACGCTAATTAAAAAAAATTGAAAGAGATTTTTCAGTACAAGAAGAAACATGAACAAAACATTTCTTACTCCTGACAACATTTAGATTTCTTGAAACCTCCTTTGCTGGAATCAGTTACTTCCACTGCCAGGCTGACACACATCTAGACAGCTGTGCTGTGGCTGTAACTGAAGCCTGGAGAAGGTAAAGCTCTACAAGACCTGACTTTCTCCTGGTTCTAAAAAATGGTTAAGTGGGTGCACAGCAACAAGCAAATCAAATTTTATTGAAACAAATCTATATTAGTTACAATATATTCAACAGACCATGTCTTCCTCCTTGTGTAACAGAAGCCTTGTAATATACAAAGAAACTTTTATTGTTGGGCAGATTATAAGTATTCAAAATTTGTAAGAATGTTCATGAAGATAATTTCAAAGAAAAAGACACAAGAAACAGATTTTTGATTTACCCCATAACTTGCTGACAGAAAACACAATGAGATCGTGAAATTCCTTCCTAATGTAAATTTTGTCACATGTACAGGTCTCGCTAAGAATCCTTCTCCTATCTCTGCCTCGAGAGGAAAGATTACCTCAATTTTCTCATCAAACCTGACACCTAGGCAGTACTTAGGAAGAAAAAACACATTTCAGGAATTTCACCCAGAAAAGCAGTGTCTAAATACACTACAACATATGTAGTTTCACCCACCAAGGATTATCAGTCTACAGAACTAACAAATATCCACAATAAAACCAATTATATCTCAACAAAAAATCTCCTACAGTGTTCATTTCCTTGAACTTTTTTAAGCCAGAAACTAAGTATAGCTGAAAGTCAGATTGGGTACAAGTAAATAACACATTAATTTCTTACCTTTCAAGCTCACAAGTGCTTTTGCTGAAGAGCCTGCAATATATCAAAAAGTCCACATAAATCATAAGATATTTCAAACCATATAACCTATGCAGAGTCTATTCATTCTTAATTAATTCTTAGGCAGAAAGCAGAATTTAATATGAAATCTTTCACAGCTCAATGAGTGAACCCAGTGTGCCCTCCATGGCATGAAGTATAGCATTATATGTTTATTACCCAATAAATCTTGAAAGCATATTCATGTTTCGTTTTTTTTTTCCTTTAGTTTCACATCTTCAAAACAGCTTCAGAGACCAAGCACTTTTGTTTAACACAGCAAATGCTGAACAAGCTTTATGTCCTAACTACATACTTCCACGCGGCTGCTTGTTTGATGGAGTTGCAAATATATTATACAACTGACAAGGAAACTATAATGAACACCACTTTTTTTTTTTTTAATTATTATTTCTACCAATTCAAAATTCTTCAGTGTAAAAATTTCCATGAAAGCAGCAGTTTATGCTCTCTAAGCTTCACGAGTAGGGAGATGGACAGCCAGTTGCCCCCTGGTTGAACCTCCTTATTCAGAAAGGCAGCAGATTCAGATATTATAAATGCAGATGGGATCCTTAGTTTGTTTGAACTGTTCAAACTGTTAATGCATCCATCAAAATTTCACTGCTCCCCTTCCACTGTATCTGTAGGACCTCCGCAGCGCTTCTGGGCCAGGAAGAACAAAACTAGGCCTGGCTATGGCCTTCATGCTTTGGAATTCTCAAATGTCTCTCTAAGAATGAGCTGTTTGAAGCAACTGCATTAGCAGAGGGGAAAGATATTTCTGCATGACAACACTTCCACAGATCCATGCTTTGCTCTCAAATCAACTTTATCTTTCCAGTTATGTTCCAGTGTTGCAAGCACCCCTTCTTGCATTGCATCCTCTTTTCCCCCTCCCTTTCCTGGCTCCCTCCTGCAGCTTCTCTTTGGAACTGCTGTTCCAAGAACATTTCTAATTCCAAAGGTCTGGAAATTCCTTTTCTTGTGGCTGCCCTGTATCTAGGTCCTAACCCCACTAACTTCAGAGTGCCAGAGACCCTTGCCTCTAAGAGAATACATTCCAGGGAATATCACAGAGCCAAAAGATGATTTATCATCCCTTTCCAGGGGAACAGAGTATTTTGATTTGGGATGGACTGTTGAAGAGAACACAGGTGCACTAGTGGCAAAAAACCCCCCCTACATTCCTTATTTTTTCATCATATTATTTTGTTTGCTGCCATCTTATTATGCCACATGTTAAAAAAAGTTCAATAAAAAAAAAAGGAAAAGGAAAGAAAGTTTCTATTATTTTCAAAAGATTAAAAAAATGTTTAAGATATGAAATGGAACTAGTTTTGCCTCAGTGGTGGTTTAGAGGGCCTCCACTGCAATATCTTCCAAGCTGTTCAAACCTACAACAGCTAACACATATGGGATTACATGTCAAAACCACAATGACAAACCTGGGCTATACTGTTGCCCTTCTCGCACATTTCTTTTCTGACATATCACCTTTGTCAGATTGGAGACCTAACAGTGACTGTTACAGGAATATGCTTCTATGATGATCTGATTCACAGTGAATTCAGCTCTTGAAATAAGCTGCACATTAAAGGTATCACAAGAATAAAGCCTTTTTTTTTTTTAATTTCATACTAATAATCAGATACTGTACACCATGCTTGCATAAATACCCGAGTACCCTGCTATCAACCAAGAATGCAGTCCTGAACAGTAAGAACAGTGAAGAACTAGTGTGTCCCCCAAATTAACATAAGGGATGGTGGGAAATGTGTGCAGGAATTAATAAGTACAAGCAGTTTAAGAACATGGGGAAAGTACATGTCATTGGGGGTGGAGAGGCAGAAGCAGGGTCATCAGGATTGTCAACTGGAGGAGATGCTGGCTTTTTAGAATTCTGAAAGATCTCAGGCACTTACTCTGTGTTAAGGCCGAACATACAATAATTTTCCTCTTTTTCTGACTGCTTGCTCATATGAATCAAGTTCAATCAATTCAGTCAAGGGTAAGCACATCAACAATGGAAACGAAACAACTCAGCAAGAGGCAGCAAAGTTTTATATGGGAGGTGGTGTCAATCTCATAGCTGAGGTGCCCGAGATCCTTTGCTAACCATCAAACTCAAATGCTTCACCTGTGAGCCTGATGGTGGGTCAGCAGAGCAGGGCATTAGATGACTGGCATCAGAAACAACAGGTAGAGAAGGGATGGACAGCAGAATGTTACTGTGCTACCTTCTAGCTTTATAAGATTACCACTTCAAAACAGCATTAGTTGCCAAGGACTTTTCCACATGGAATAGTTAACCTTCCACAGATGCATGCTAGAATAAGGCTGCTCCTTTGTTTTCATTTAACCTGCAACTAAAATAATGTAACAGGAAAAGGCCTTCTTTATTTAGGAATACAAGTGTCCAAATAAGAAATTTCTGATCTAGCCAAGTTCAAAGTTAAACTATTTTAATGTAACAAGTTGCAGAAAATTATTAGCACCAACACTTCTGCAGCTTAAAGCATTAGAATACATGTAGGATATCAAAATGACAATGGAGATGTCCATAAGCTTAATTTTACCTTAAAGGCAACAATACGATACAAGAGTGTTCTTGTCAAGTTCTTCTATATTGATTTTAGGGGCTAGCTGCAACAACACCAAACTTCAAGGAATATGGTACATCTCCCCACTTTCCTCATTTAGTTTGGCAGTACTCTACATACTACCAAGGCAATAAAACCAAAAACTAGGATGATCTTCTAAGCAATAATGTGTTACCATAAAAAACAGCCAACATTTAATACAGATAAAAGCATGTCAGAAACTATAAAAATTGCAAAGTGATTTGGGATAGATTAAGTTTAGTAAAACTATCCAAAATTTTAGTTAAAATAATGATTATATTTATAATATCCCAGCCTCACACTAAGTGTCAGTAATTTTGTACACTCCTGTTCTGAATAACAAATATATAATCATAGGCAGTCTTTTTAACCAGCATTTTAATTATAAACATAGAGATTAAAGTAGAATATACACATATGCTTGCATGTAAATACCTATTATGACAATGACACAGATTTCACTTCTACAAACATCAAACACTTAAAAAACAAATGGGCGGAAAGGAAGAAATAAGGCCTATGCATCATTTAGGGTATTACAACAAAAATCTACTTCTAGCTCCTCCAGATTCAGAGTATCATAGAGGTGACCTTCTTAATACTGAGAGTAAAAAAACCTCAACTGAGGGAGGAAGTAGAGCTAGCTCACCGCAATAGCGGCTCAGGAATTAGAAGGCTGGCTTTCAGTAGTCTACACTGGCATACTATTCCAGTGCAAACTGTATGACTGGCCTGGTCTTGTCTTAGTATCCTATTGAATATTGCTTTGTGTATGTCATTAGTAAATTAATTATCTGAACACAGTGTTCACACTTGACTAAGTTTGAAAAATTAGGAAAGGATTCAGAACAGAGCTAGGAGAAAGATGTGAAGATCTAAAAACATGCCTTATTGCGAGAAAGTCAAGACACTCCAATCTTGTTCTTCCCAAAGAAGGTCAAGATCTGCACTGATCACAAGTATCTACAAAGGAAGATAATTCAGAGAGTAAATAGCTCTGCAGCCTTTTTGAACAAGGAAAGGCATAACTAGATCTATTTGTCAGAAAATGATGTTGGATAAGTTCAGGTTAACAACGAATGCAAAGTTTAACAGATTTTATGGAACTATACTCAGAAAGGGCATGTTGAGTTCCCTATCATTCAAAATCTTTAAACTAATTTACATCTATTTTAAAGAGAAAACTATAGCTAAAAAGGAAGCATGGAATTTCTGTGCATCAGTTCCAAAGACAAGCATCCTAGCACGCTTAATGAAGAATGTAAGATGATTATAATGGCCTTTTCTGGCTCTAAAAAAAATAATCTGTAAAATATGTGCACCATAGATGTGCAGCAAAAATAACTGTGTGCTAGACTATGAGACATTTAATAGTATGATAACAGGAAGCTCATTAGTAACTAAGAGTCAGGAATAGTGTATTTATGTGTTTTTAACACTTATAAGAAGTGATTTGCAGGAAGTTCGTGTAAAACTGAATTAAAAAAAAATAAATTTAACATTAAAATAACCTCAAGTCCACCACATCTGGCATGATAAGGACCCTGATGTTTTCACGCTTGGCTAGCTAGAAACCTGACCGGCTTCGGCGGGAAAAAAAGTGCGGGGTCCGGCGGATGGACAGCTCCCCTAGTCCTGAACCGCCGCTCTCCCGGCACCGGCACGGCCACCAAGAATCGTTCTTCTCGTCCCAACAGCCTTCTCCCAGCACAAGGGAGCATGTGCAGAGGATTACCACAAAGAGAACCTAAAAAGCCTCCTCTAACTGCTCTGCAAGCAGTATGGACAGACTTTAAAAGGGACTCTTGATAGTTTGCCCTCCAAAAAGTATTTCTGATGTGGAGATAGGTTTTGAGGCATGAGAATAAAGCGCAATAGCTTTTCTCCTTTTCAAAAATTAACGTTGGGTTTAAATTTAAAAACAAGCATCAATTGCCTCCCTCCTTTGAAAATACTGTAACTGAACAAGAGGTGGAGTATGACTGCAATTCAATACAGGCAGTTGTGGATGCCCCGATGTATATTTTCAGTACTGACACGAAACAAAGCAGTTTAAATACAGCTTCCCAACAGCTGATCTTAAAATTTAAACAGGAACACAGACAAGCACATTGCATTTGTGAAAGTGTTTTCAGATTTTTTTATAATGAATTCGTAACAGCTGATTACAATTTTGAAAATAAAGGTTACAAGTAACCACAGGGATGTTCCATAGCTACTGATTTTACTAATGTGTGGGCACAAAGGGGCATATGTCAATCGATATAGAAAATTCTAGGATCTAGATAAGCAATTACATAATGTAAAACCTTTCCTCTCCACATTATTACACTATTTTGTCTAAGTTCTGCATGGGTGAGCAGT